TTCCTGCTGCCTTGTTCAAACAATGCTAGTGCATTTTTATAAAGAGGTAAATGAAACAGAGTCTCTGAGGTTTTTACTACAATTAGAAAAAAAAAAAAAAAAAAAAAAAAATCAGTGCATGGCAAATGCTAAAGGATACAAATATATATTTCAAATATCCATGAAAACAACTGCAGTATTAAGAAAAGGCAAATGCCCCCTTTGATGCTGACAGAAGTGTTTTGTTCATTGTGCTGTAGTTGCTTAGGAAATCTGCTATAGAGCAGGGGGGGATCAGTCTGAAGCTCGGGTGCCACAAGTGGCACCAGCAGCCTCTGTATGTGGCAAGCAGCAGATCAGGGAGGGAACAGGTGACACAGGGCTGATAGGGCAGGAAGCAGAAAGCAAAGCAGCACAGGGAAAGAAGCAGAGCAGCAGGGAGCACAGGGCTGGGAACAGAAAAAGCAGCTTGGGGAGGGAAAGGGGATTTGGTGAGGTTGCAGGGCTGTAATTTGTCACACACCTGCCAAAAGACTGGTCTTCTTTGCTATAGAGACAAGTCATGAGATGTTCAGGGAAGAGGCCCACCAGGGAAACAACCTGCTATTGTTTTGTTTTATAATGGCCAAGAGTACTAGGTGCTTTAAAGGCAAAGATAAAAGATACAGTCACTGCCCCCAAAATGTTATAATCTTGAATGCTAATACTGCAATAGAATCCAAACCGACAGATCTGTATGTCCCCACTAAATCAGTGTGAAGTCAGTGTGACTCCAAGTAGGTAAGGTGAGGGCAGTGATCCTCAAACAGGGTGCCGGTGCACCCAGGGTCCTACAAGTTCTTTGGAAGGGTACCCTGAGGTCTGAGGAGATAAGCTCAGAAATGCAGGTTCAAGCTCAGTCCCTGCCTGGCTGTTCTCACTACAAGGGGGTAAGCAGTGTAATAAGTTAGTTTTTTTTAATAAGGTGTTACTCAATTCACAGAAAATTATGGAGGGGTGCCTGGAGTCTAAAAATGTTGAGAGCCAGTGGATTAGGTCTCATCAAACACACAACATGACAAGAAAAATAAAGGGAGTGTGAAGGTTAGAAGATGAACAGGGTTACAAGAACAGAACCAGGTGGTTGCAGAATAAACCACTCTGTCTGCTACTGAATTTACTTCAAAGCATCTCCTTTCAAGACACCAGGTTGGAAATGTCTGAAAATTCAATTTAATATAACTTCTAAAATTTTATCATAATTTTCCATTTAAAAAATGGATGCCAAATGTTGAATTCCAGGATGCCAGGACAGCAGCTACATCCAGTTCCCACTCATACTTTCAGCTAAGGACACATGAGTTTTCCCTTGCGATGTACCATCTCTTTACTTATCATAAGAGCACACAACAACTCCAAGACTTGGAAATGTTTAGTTAGCATCACCAGAGGTTTCTAGCCTGCAAAAGCATATTCTTTTAGACACAGTTGTCTCTACTGAGTCCGCTGACCACACTGGCTAATATTAATATGTAAAGTAAACCACAAAGAATCGCCATAAACCATGCACCAGAACACTAAGAGGCTGCAGTACAAACGATATTCTCCCTTTCCTCCCTTACACACATAGCAAGGGAGGTGAGCAGAATGCGCATCTTGCACAATCCAGCACGTGATTACTCTGCTGTACAACTTACAGCTATAGGGAAATCCCAGTCAACAAGCTCAGCAGAGGGGATACTCCCCACTACTGTACAAACTGGCAAACAGCCAGCTCACATGCCCTCTGTGGAAGAACCCTAGGCTACAATGATTGTAGAGGGAGCTTCCTGGTTACCCTAAAGAGAGAGGAAACAGGGAGACATAGGGAGAAGAAAGGCTACCTGGCAATCCTTCTACGAAGGGGAAACAGGTAGAGAGAACTGGAAATGTATTTAAAAAGAAAATAACAGTAGACATGAATCAGCTTTTTCCTTTTTATCCATGCCAACAATCAATAATTAATCAAAAACTGTACCTCAAATGTCCCTGATGAAGGTGGAAGTTTTTTTGGAAGATGCTCCTGTCCCTCCTCCTCTTCCTCCTCCAATATCCCTTCACTGTTGTCACTGTGAGTAGCTTCATCATAGCTAATACTCCTCAGAACTCCTCGTCTGTCATCAAACTCAGCAGCACTGCTCTCACTGGTATCGCTACAAACACTATTCTCTCTGCTTCGAGACTTCAAAATTGATTTACGAGGGACATATTCTCCATTCACAACATCAACAAAGACTCTGCAAAAGAAAATGTTAGCTTTAATAAACTATTTCAGGATCAGATGACAAATTTACAGTGATCTCTCTTTGTCTTTGTACAAATTAATTATGATTTGCTTTTCCAACTTCTCAACTGCAGAATTACAAGACACTACCTTCAGAAGATACAATAGAGCATTTTATTTACCAACGAACAAGGAGTAATTCTGCCACCCAAATACTGCCTTTTCCTTCATTAAAGCATTAAGTTAATACATTAGGGCCAAACCTTTTTGGCAGAAATTTTGCCACAAGTTAGCCCTGTACCCTCCTGGAGCGCCACCCTAATCCCCTTTCCACACCCAATCGGCTGCTCTGCTCCCTACCCTATTTGCCACTGTGCTACTTGTCCTCTCTCCCCAATCTATTGTGTACTACTCACAGAGGCTGCCTATGCCACTTGTGACACTCAGTCCACATGTTACCTACCCCTAACCTAGTACGCTTTTTTTTTTAGCAGAAATTGCATAGCCTTTTGCAGAACTTCATGAACAGCAGCAGCTTCATCTTCAAAATGTAAAAAATTGTAAACAAGTCATAAGATTATTTTCAGTTTGTTTTTCTAAAATTACAGAAGAGTTGTAAAATGGAAGGTTTCCTAGAGTGCAGTTCTTTTAAAATATTAAATATAAGAATAGATTAAACATTCACTTGCACGTGTTAAGTAGAAAGTTTTCTCAAGCAAGGGCCATCATCTTTTGTAGAATCTAAGCTTTCAGTAAAAAAAAAAAAAAGCTTTTCGCTTATACGACCGTGAAGAAACTTTTCTAACATGAACAGAGCATCAGCCAAAACAGTGGCCTCTACCAAATTTTACAGATAGTGCCTATTAGGACTGTGTGAAGCTTTGGTTGCTGATTCGATTTGGAGATTTGGCCCAATTCAGCAGCCGAATCTCCGAATTCGAATCAAATCAGGAGACCCATTAATCTCTCTGAATCAAATTGGAAGCCTGATTCAACGATTCAGCCATAGACGCAGCTTTGTGTTTTCTACATCCCTCTAGGTACCAGGTATGGCTCGTGAATGCTGAGATGGTGGGGCAGGTGGAGCATCCCATAGGAGGGCAGGCGGATCCCCCACGCACTCGGTGGCAGACCCAAAAGTGGACCATCTCAGCATTCATGAGTCATGCCTGGTACCTCAAGGTATGTAGAAAAAACATTTAAAGCTGTCTACAGACAGATCGCAGATTCTCCAAAACAGAATCGAAACTTCAGATTCAGCTGAATCGAATTGGGACAGTGATCCGAATCAGCAAATCGAATCGCTGCCCCCCAAATCAGGCCAAATCTGAATCCGAATCAAATATGGCCCGCTTCAAACACCCATAGTGCCTATGCCTCTAATTGCTCGTCATGGCTTTCCCAATCTGCCATTAATTGACCAGTCTGTTAATATCCATTGCTGCCTACAGAAGCTCTGTAGGTAAGCTGTGAAAAATAATAAGTATCTGGTTAAGCTGCCAGCTCTGCTGGGGCTATTTTGGAGTATTCAATAAGAAAGAGTATGGACTAAGTGAATAGAAACCCTCTAACAATACTGCCCCATCAGTCCTGACGAATCTGGGAAAAAGTAGGGCTCTATGGGTTATGACACTAGCACTGAAGTTCATGGAAGTTTTCACTGAGAGCAAATGCAGGCTCAAAGTGAAAGCGTGCACTGTCACTATTCAACAACTGGGTGATGGGCTTTTTTATTTACTGATTGCTTTTGTTCATGGGTGATGCCTTTTTGGGTGCTGGATTTTGTCTGCAACTACTTCATGCTTGTTATGCAAGACTAGAAAAAATAGAGCTTCTTCACAGGGTTCAAGAAGAATTCTTATGCCCTAAGAGCTTTCATTTTTCACCTGGCCTCTGGATAGTTCAGGCCAGATTTTCAAATTTTCAGGCTAGATGCAGAGTGATTTCTAAAAGCACCTGGCCACTCAACTCTCATGGATTTGAAACTTAATAAAATATCTATCTGCATCTTGAGATGGATAGGAATAGATCCCAAATACTGTTAAAAATCTGTCTCCCTTAATTTTAGTTAAGACTTCTGTATCATCTTCTAACTATTTCTCCCTATGATCTTTTTTTCTAGTTCCATGGATGAAGAGTGGCTAGAAGCTGAATATATCTAGGATGGAATGAAGGGAAAGCAAGCATATAGTGGATCAGGGCAAGAAAGAAAGAGCTTGTGCTGAAAAGTGCTAGGGGGAGAGAGAGGAAGAAAAGAGGAAAGAGGCAATAGCAATCCAGAGTAATTTACACCAGGGAGAACAAAAAGGCTAGAGTGAAGCTAGAGGGAATGTATAATGGAAGTGACAGATAGGGTTCAGTTCTATTTTAAAAAGTAAAATAGAAAAGTGACCAAAAACATCTTAAACTAAATGCAATATGCAAAGCTCTGCTTTGTTCCTTTACAATGCAGAGTTTCGTGGGTGTGGAGTAAATTTTAAAAGCACTGATTATGTTCAATTACTGGTTTAAAAAAATATAATTCTCAAAGCAGTGGGCAACACAGTTAAGCAGCATGACAAATCAACAGTATGACCACCAGGCAGGAGACACTTTCATTTCTAAAATGTAGGTCCAGCACCAAATGTTTTGGCTTTTAGGGTGGATTTCACTGTTCATGCAAGAGGTGCATGACTCAAAGAAGACTTTCTTTTACAAGTTTGCAATGGGAAAAGCATGTTAGCCATTGCTTTAACTACATACCGGTAAATGTCTGCAGGTGTTTTGATGTTAGGTAGTTCTGGAGCTGAATGTCCATTGCCATTGCTATTCTTTCTTTTACGTTTTGCCTCCTCTTTCTTTTCACTGAATTTCAAAGTAGTATTTTTTCCTGTGTTTATTCTTACCTAAAAATTGAAGACAAATTTATCCAGACTATAAAACCAGAATTCCCCAGGGTCGATTCAAGTCAATTCATAAATCCTCTCCATCTGAGCAAGAGGGCACTACAGAAGTATAGACTGGTAGATTTAAAACAGTAATATGTAGTAATAGCATGCTGATTGTCTTGATATATTAACACTCATCAACTTTCCACAAAAAGTACGAAAAAATCCTCTTTCATGGTGCAAGAGGAAAGGATAAACAACTTGCATATGCAGAGTATACCTGAAATTACTAACTTTACTTACAGCTTAGCTTCCTTGCAAATCTGATACATTTTTAGGACTTCTAGACTTCTAGACAAGGGATGCTACCAAAACTGTTTCAAATATCTCTAAAAGGATGTATGAAAATTTTAAGGTTACCTTTTTCTGTATCATATTTATGTGTATGAACTGAAATCAGTAAGGCTCAACAGGTGGAAGCCAAAATAAACTTGAAAATGAAAAGCCAAAATAAACTTTATAGTTAAATACCCTACCTACAAGATATGCCATGGTATTTACTTTAAACAGAAAGGTCTTACAGATAAATGTCTGACTGGTACCCTTAAATTCAACAGTAATCTATGTCATGACTAGAATTAAAAGTGCATTCCAGAAGGAAACTGATTTATCCTGAAAGTGTAAGTAGCATAAATAGTTATTAGATTTCTCTGAAGGTAAGTTTTAGGTGTCCTATTAGGAGTACAATCTTTGTAAGATTCTAAAGACAGCTATACATGTAACTACTACTAATTATCCTTCAACTGAGGAAATCCAGCAGTAATGAACGATCTAGCAGGCCAGCTAGTCCTACCACTCAGGCAATGCTGTATATTTGCTAGCGTTTTGATCAGAGGTGCACCGATACATCGGTCCAATATGGGACCAGCACCAATATAAAGAAAATTTACTATACTGAAAATCGGCCATGTCGAGCCGATAATTTGGCCAATAAATGGCCCATGCATGCTCGCAGCTGCAGCACAGGACAGGCAGCAAGGAGCACAGCCAGGCAGCGTGGAGAGCTGCTTCCAGCTGGTTAGTCTGGTGTGGTGTAAGGGAGAAGGGAGGGGGAAGGGAAGGGAACGGGCGTGGGGGGGCACATCAAGGTCCCTGCAGTGAGGGAGGTGTGGGACTAGGGCAAACGCTGCCCATTTGGGGTGGGGCAGGCGCAGGACTGCGCCACGGTTTGTCTGGGAGGTGCAGGGGCAGCTCCCGCTGCTGCGCACTTCTCATGCAGGAGCCATTGATCCAGTGGCTCATCCGGCACTCCCTGCTAGTCTGGCAGCTCCCCCCAATTGTCTGGGAGGGAATGGGGGGGAGGGTCGTGTGCCCCCAGATCTGTGCAGGGCAGACTGGGGCCGGGGCTGCACCATGCTCTTCCCAGTGGCGCAGAACTGTGCTGGGAAGGAGACTACAGGGGCAGCTGCAGTCAAAAATTCACCGTAGCCCCTTCCCAGAGCAGCCCCGCCCTGCTGGGAAGAGCTTGGCACAGCCCTTGCCCCAGCCCGCACTGCCCCGTGCAGATCCAGGGGCACACGGGCCCCTCCCCCACAAGCCCTCCCAGACAAGCGGTGGAAGCCACCAGACGAGCAGGTGAGTGCCGTATGAGCTGCTAAACCAGTGGCTCCCACACAAGCAGTGCACAGCAGCGGGAGCTGCCCACCCCCGCACTCCCTGGATGAATTGCAGCACTGTCCTGTGCCCACCCCGCCCCAGGTGGACAGCGCTTGCCCCAGCCCCTCCCCATGACTCCCTCACCGCAGAGGTCTTGATCTGCACCCTCTCCTCTCCCCCACTCCTTCCACCACAGACTTACCAGCTGGAGGTAGGTCTCAACGCTGCCGGGCTAGGTATTGGAAATCAAATTGGTATCGGCTGACATGGCTCGTTAAGAATTAGCTATCAGTATTGGCTGCAAAAATCTTTATCGGTGCATCCCTAATTTTGACCACTATTTGCCAATCTCTTCCACCATTTTGCTTACAAAACTGTTCAGACATTTCTGATTTGTTTCTCCATAAGCTCTCACTTACACACACAGAATTAAACTTGAGGCAGGCTGGATGCCTCCCTGAAGAGTTCACTACTGCTGCTTTACCTGCTCTAAATAACAAAACATCTCTTCCCAAAGAACAAGGATTCAGTTTTTACTGTGGTCCCAAGTCCCTCTAGACCCAGGAATCAAAAAACTGGGTTCTGCTCGAAACTGTGACCATGTAACTCCTCCATGACCTAATTATTTTATCCAATTAATTAACTAAAGGAACAGTAGACTTTATTGTCTGTGGCCATGAGGTTAACTATTTTCAATACAGTACAGATAGATAGATAGATAGATAGAATAAATAAAAAGTAATAGTACAAACCCTTTTAAGTTCAACAGTATGAGAGAAAAATATGGTAGGTACACTGTTATCTCCAACTCCTAAATCATCTTCATCATCACTGTGATAATGACTTGAGCCATTAACTTGGCCACTGAACAATTCTGAATTTGTTACTTCTTTCTGGAAGTTGCCCTGAGTAACACAGTCTTCAACTCTATGTACCACATTCAGATCTGTCTTATCTTCCTTCTCCTCTTCAGAGGAAGCTGAATCTTCTCCATTTGCATCTACTGCATCAGGTGTTCTAAAAAATGAAAAATATATAAGAAAGAAAAGAAAAAGCAATACAGTTCATAATCTAAGCAGGAAAATATGAACTATTTCCTATATTTAGAGGCTGTGAATATTTTGGCAGGGGGAAGGAGAAGAACAGTGTCATATGTGACATGACTATTTCTATGGGCAGACTAGGGAGAGTTTGCTCATACTGATAAATACTTAGTCTTGTAATTCCAGTATCAAATGAGCCCAACTTCAAAAAGAAATGCAGAAATGCTTATCAGCGTGTCAAAGTGTGCCACATTTTGGCTTATACTGTAACTTAAACTTTAGGACAAAATAGTTCCAAGGATGAACATTCACTGCTATATTGCAAATTAAGGGTGTAAATTTTCTGGTTCAAGGGAAAAGGATTTTACTTTCTCAGTATCTGTCATCTAATGGCAAAATACAGCACTGGTGGAAGTTTGCACTGATAAAAATCACAAAAGGTCAGAAATGCAAAATATTCTAGCCATTATGCTGCCCTGCCCCATTGTGCACCTTGGGCTAGTGCCTCCTTGCATCCAACCCCTGATCAGCAAAACAGAGACAGGAAGGTGTCATGGAGCTGGTTATGTCTCTCTGATCCCTTATCAACCCCGGGTCCAGTTAAAGCAACTATGGGACTGCTTTGACTTAGGCCTTGTACAGACATTCAGTTTCTCCTGGGGAAGTCATTGCTCTCCCAGGAGAAATCACGAGTGTACAGAAGTTCAAGCTTTTTTTCCCCAAGAGTAAAAAATTGGCACTCCAGAAGAAAACATGGGCACAACCATGCTTAAACCACTTCCAGGAGAGTTTCTCCTGCGGCAGCAAATGTCTGTGCATGCTGACAACGCAGGATGATCAAGGCTGTTTGGGTTAGCCAATCGGGGCTGCCCAATGCACTGCTGTCATCTGTTGCCAGGCAAACTAAGGGAGCCTGCAGAGGTGTGTGACAGGGCACCCTCCCAGCTGCAGTGTCAGCACTGCAAGCTCTCCACTCTTCATGACATCAGTATTTGAATGCTTGTACACATCACGTTAGGAAGGTTTTCTACCATGAGAACAAACCTGGGAGAATTCTCCCAAATTATATGAATGTTTGTATGCAGGCTTTATCCCTAGCCGAGGATTTTAAATGACTTGTCCTGCCAATGAAGGTTACTTATAGACTTATTTTACTACAATACTTGACCATCCCACTATATGCCTCAGGATGTACCCTTGTAGGCAAGAAGGGGCTGAAGCAGGTGCTGCCTCTATCAATGAGTAATTTCCTTATACCAGGTGATTCCTTGCAGGCCACTGACAGCCAGATCTCAGCTCATTTATGTTACAAGTTGGCTGCATATTAAATATAGTATGTGATCCCTTATGTTCTACTTTCAACCTACCCCCATAATCAATGCTAATTCTTTTAGCTCTACATATCTAAGTATTAACACAGCTCAATCACTGTAATATTCAAGCAATTCATAAACATTAATTATATTTATACTTACAACCCACCTCTGGGGTTGGAAAATGTTATTAACCTCATTTTATAGATGAGAGCAGAGGCATTTTGAAATTAAGTGACTTGCCACAATTAGACAGAAAGTCTGTGGCAGACTTTGAATCCAGACCTTCCTTTATTACAAGCAGCTTATTTTTATTTTATTACTGTAAGATTTAAGATACTGAAAAGTATCTGGAGCTTTGAATTAGAGTTTATAGCTTCATTTCCATTATAAAAACAAACAGGAAAAACCCCAAACAAATTAACTACCATGCACTTTTAAACTTTTTACTTATTTTGGAATACTTGCTCATTTAAGCAAGACACCTGTTAGAAGCACCTATTTATTCATACTTGTAAGGATTTTAAACAGGTCCTTCAAATTCAAAGGGGAAAATTCTCCACAGTTGCAACACTAATATACCTATCTAGTTCACCCAGCATTTCTTCTTGTCTCTCAAGCTCTTCCAGTCGAGCCCACAGGTCTTCCTCAGATTCAAAACAGCCTCTGGATTTTGCATCAGTTCCATTTTCTTGAAAATTGACTTCAAAAACATCTGACACTTTGGGCTTTGAATGAGGTTTGTGAGCAGTTCTGCGTTTGCCTATGCAACAAAAATTACAAGATAAATCACCAAGACAATTATAACAAATGAAGTATTTGGACAAAATATATTCCATCTCAACTTACTTCTGGATTGTTTAGGTGATAATGTCAATGAACCAGAGCTCTTACACAGGATAATAATCTCCTGACACAAGATCAATGCCCAAGCAAAGCAGAAATATTCATTTACAAAGCAGAGGCACTGATCTTGTGGCACTTCTAGTCCTCTGATTTTATGTCTATTGTGCCAAACAGTTGACTTGGATTTCATCCAATATTGTGGCACACTATTGTAACAGTACCTTGCCATACCATTAACAACTTTCCAGTTTAGCTCCAAGTTATCTAGACAAGTAGATGGTTTTATTTTATTTTGTTTTACAAAGTATAGTACTGCTACATGAAAATTCCAGATGGTTTGCAGAAAAACAGAAAAGTTTAGCATTTTTAAACTTTGGATTGAATTTCTGAAACAATATAAATGAAACTCAAAAGTTTCAGAAGTAGCTAGAGAAAATTGCTCCTCAGTGATTCATCTGCTAATGACAGACGAGTTTATGGTCATTTAAAGTCTATTATTTATTAGAAAAGCACACCCATTCATGTCCTTACCCACATTCTAAACTTTCTAGAGTAGAGACTACCTCTACTATTCCTTTTGATAGTGCCTGGCACATTGTGGGCAATATCATCAAACAAGTAATACTAAAAAGGCATTAATGAATCAGCCCCCTATCTGTAATATTAGGATATCACTACTTCATTTCTTTTACCCTTGTCTCGTCTTTTCCCTTGTGATTATAAACTTGTGGGGCAGGGAGCATCACCTAACTGGTGTCCACATACACCATGACACAATAGGGTCTCTTAAATGTACTGAAAAACAAATGCAAATCAGTGGGAATTTTAATTATTTTATTTTTACATTTTTTCATGAAATAACCTAACTTACAGGGTTTAACAGCAACCAAGTAGAATTGCCTGTAAGTCCAGTCTTTTTATGCATCAGTTATTTGAAGCAACTTCTAAAGTTTAAGGACTTTCTAATGAAAGATATCATTGCTCATAAGTCTGCTTATATTTTCATCATTAGACATAAACATTTCAAAAGCAACTATAGATATTCAATTCATACAAAGCCTTCAAGTAGCAAGTTGGGATTTGTAGATCCTATAGATCTACACCTTTCCTAAAGGGGCAGCATTTTATGGCTGCCCTTGAAATTTATGTTTTGAGACTTAAATATAAATTGAAGTAAGCCATCAAGAAAACAGCCTCTCCCACCAATTTCATTTGCTATAAGACAAAGTTACAGCTTAATTTAGTGTTCTTTACTGTAAATAAAATTTGGAAAGATTATTTAGCAATCTAATTCAATTTTAGTTTTTTGTCCTCTTGACATATGATTTCCTTATGTTATCCTTCAGTATAAACAACTGAATTGATTGTAGCAAGGGAAGTTTAGGTTGGATATTAGGAAAAACTCTCTCACCAGGAGGTTAGTGAAGCACTGGAATAAGTTACCTACCGAAGTGGTGGAATCTCCATCCTTGGAGATTTTTAAGGCCCAGCTTAACAAAGCCTTCACTGGAATGAACTGTTTGGAGATGGTCATGCTTTTAGCAGTGGGGTGGACTAGATGACCTCCTGAGGTCCCTTCCAACCCTAATTTTCTATGATTGTTAAGAAACTAATTTCAAGACATCCTGAAGCAGAGCAGGGCTTAAAATATTTATTACCAACAGCATAAAAATTGTGCTGCAAGGCTTATATGCCATTAAAACAAGAACAATAAACTCACAGAGTAACCAAAATAAAGAAGTCTAAAGAGAAAGAGATGCATCAATAAGATAGCTTTGGCTACTTTTTTGGGTTTCCTCAAAAATAAACTATTTTCCCTATTGCTGAGAAAGATCGTCAGCTTAAGAACCTAAGAAACCCAAGCTTGCACCAGTGCAAGTCTTCTGGATACTTATATCACAATCTCATAGAATGAATGATCAATGAATGCAACAGCAATGATAATATAGTAGATTTTGTTCTTGCTTTATCGCAAAAATTAAGGTGACTCAGAGCACAGTGATAACAAAGGTCTAGGGTACAAAAGAGACTCAAATGAATTCTGAATGACCATTCCTAACACTTCAGTATTAAAAGTATGTACAAATGTTAGAACAGGGCACATCTCCCAGAATGCTAAAAACCTTATTATGCGACCACAACTGAAAAAGGCACTGGTGACCCATTCCATCCAAAGAACTGTTCTCCCTGCCTCCAGCTTCAGCTATAAGGTACTTAAAGATGCATTCCACAAAAAATTCATTATACTGGCCATCTTAAGCCATCTACAGTTTATAGCCCATTCTGATCACTTCATGATCTAGAGATGCCATATTTTCAGTGTGTTTCTCCAACTCTTATTTATTTTCAGTTTTTGACTCTCAAACTCTGTTTCAGATACTACAGGAATCAATCACTATTCACCACTCACCTCCCCAGTGTCTCTTTATAACCTGCCTTTTTACTGCTAATAATTTTTTGTAAGTCTTGCAATAAGTAACTTTTCTGCTGATATTTCACTATATTTCCAAAAACTGCTGTAAAGAATCTTTAGTTTAGACTTTCTTCCCCTTCCACAAGAATAAAAATAGCCCAGCTAAGCTCAGCTTTCACACTATCCCATATCAGCCTCAACTCACTCTCCTCAGGCTTCTTGCCGACATTCTTCCTGACTAAGAGATGGAGTGTGTAACCTATTTTTTCCAGTTTTACTACTATTCCAATGTTGGCAAGACTAAGCATCCATCTCTATAGTGCCACTGGCTTTTTCTCCAAAAAGCGTCTGTCCAGGACAATTTTTCACCTCCCCTCTTCTCTTCTGGACAGCTCCTTTCTGTATTTCCCTTTGAGAGCTGTTTCTCTGAAGATCCTACAATCTGGTTCTTGAACTACCTGTTTCTACCAAATCCAAGTCAGGAAGCATAATGGCAGAGACATATGTGGGAAGCCTCCACTGATGTTAAATTACACTGTTCTATGGATAAAAGCGGACTTAAACCCCTACTCCTTCCAGTATAGTTTTCTTATCCTCAGTAGAAACATATGTGCTTATCTTAAATCTGTAATAAAAGTGAAATAAATTAATGTGAATGTTATTCAAAATCAGCATAAAGAGCCAATATTTTACTGGCTAGTATTTGAAAGAGCAAACAAACTCAGTCACCTTTTGTTTCAGTAGCATCATTTTCAGTTTCTTCTCTTATATCAACAATATCACCTGCGGCCTATGGAGAAAAATGTAAAGTTAAAACAGCACATTTTGCAATCATGTGTTTATTAACAGTATAAGTATTTTAAAAGAATGCACTTAACAACAGAAGTAGCATTCAGTCCTAGAAGAGACTGGATGCATTACTTCTATACACTTTTAAAACTCAATTGCAATATCCATATTTTTCTAGATTTCAAAAAACACCATTCAGCTACAGCATAAAACAGTTGACACTTACATCACTCATTTTCTGCAAATCTTCTGTGAATTCAACTCTGGATTCAAAATTCTTCATGACTTTTTGGAAATCATCCAGTGCTTTCCTTACGTCTGAAACAAACACAATCACTATGCACAACATGGCACATGTAAGAGCGACATTAACATTTTAACTGTAGTAATTTCACACTGAAAATGTAATGATTTATAATCTAGCTTTAAGAAGAACCTAATTTTTCCTCATTCTGTTTTATTTTTTCCTTTTAAATGTACTGCTTTAAAATATGCTCTCTTACAATTTTTCTGTGATCTATGTATAATGCCTGTTACTTTGCCACTAATAAAATTTAGGACTACTAACATTTTTCTCAATATAGGCCACAGAACTAGGTTCCAGATGTTGCATGATGTTACCAAATTCCTACAGAGCAACTGTCTTGTTCGTTTGTGTTATCATACATAAAGCAATATTTCACAGCAGTTTGCATAGATAATTTTAGTCCAGCTGGACAACAAGTGGATGGATAGTGCATACAAAACAAATTAGTCTGTTTTTTATTGGTTATATTTCTGAGCTAGACCGTGATTTAGTGAGTGAAAAAAATGCAGTTTGCTTCTAAGAGGTACTTCTAAGAGGTACTGTTTTGTAGTTTCCAATGAATCAAATAACAGAAGTTTAAGAAAAAATCTCAGCTACATGTCATGCATGTATTCTCTCACCTCTACTTCAGATATCATGGTGCTCAGCATCTAAATTTAGTAGTTCAGTATCTAAAATTTCAATATTAATTTTAAAATGACTTATTATCATGCCTCAGACTGATGCTACAAGCAAATGCAACAAGTTCAAAATTTATTAAAGTAGAGAAGTGCATCTGATGTACACTATTATTACACTGGATCTGAACACACATTTCTTAACCATGGCAGTGGGTGAAATAAGTTTTATTTCGCCCTGCTAAACTGGAAATTGCTTGGGTCACATGCCAATAAGCAGAGAAAAATAGAGTGACAATATTACCCCCACACCAGAGATACTTTGATTTCCTACTGTTTT